GCTATATATTGTACATACCACAGTATATGTAAGAATGCTAATAGTGGAGACATAAGGCACCTTGACCATATAGGTTCGCTCCTATTTTGCAGAGGGTAACTAATCATTTGATTGCCTAAAGTGACTAGCCAAATGAGTGCTTACTAGTTTTGTATCATCCATATTGAACCTGCCAAACACCTTTTTTCACATATTTTTCTGTGACAGTTTTAGGACATCATTGTTCATAATAATTCTCATCCCAATGATTTTTTTTTTCAATACCAAATCCATCATTACAAACTCCTTTTTAACTAATCTATTTCTTGTTCACGAGCATCTACAATCAACTTGTCACGAACATATACCAGCAATATACTATATGAGTTACCAAGGTTCTTTACATAACAATAATGATCCCTTTGAAACCTTTTGAAACCATTACAACTCATGAAACTATCAAACTTCTTATACCATCATCTTAGAACTTGTTTAAGACTATACAAACTCTTTTGGAGTCTGCACACCATTTTCTTATTTTCTTGTACTTCGAAACCTTGTGACTGCATTATGTAAATTTCTTCCTCCAAATCACTAAGAAAAAAAGGTCGTCTTTACATCCAATTGCTCTAGGTGCAAGTATTCATTTACCACTAATTCAAGTACTACTCTAATTGTGATTAATTTCACCATAGGAGACAAAATCTTAGTATAGTGAATGCTTTCTTTTTGTTGAAATCCCTTTATAATATTGCTTTATATCACTTGATTCCTTTATGTTTTTTCAATTGGTAGACCTATTTAGTTTTTAAAGCCTTCTTTTCTTTTGGAAACTTTATCAATTTCCATGTCTGATCGGACAATAATAAGTTTCATCCCTCATGGCTAACTCTTACTTGATTGATCATCAACCTGTACAGCTTCACCATAACTTTCTAGTTAACCTCTATCAGCTAATAGAATATAGTACGACACTGGAGAATATCTTTGTGGAGGTCTAGTAGTTCGACTGGATCTTTCGGGTTGAGCTATAGGGGTGTTCTGATGTATTTTTAGGGCAATATTTTCTCGATTTTCATCATTATCATTCTTTAACTTATTACTAGAAGATCTTTCAGTAGGAAAACCTTAGGTTTCTTCATTTTAGGACTTGAGTCTTTAGGGTCTATTCTTAATATATCATATATAAGACATTTTCATTGAAAATCACATCCTTGCTCCTAATCGTCTTCAAGTCTAATCATCTCATCAACAGTAACCAAACTCGTTATCACCATGACTAATGAACAGACACCTTTTTAATTTAGCATTGAGCTTGCTTTTCACAGTAAAATCAATATGAATGTATAGAACACAATCAAACACTTTCAAGTATGAAAGCTTAACCTCTTTACTGCTCCAAACCTCCTCGGGATTTTGCAGTCCAATAGAGTTGGACCTCTTTTGATCACGTAAGTTGCACTGCAATAGTCTCAGTCCAAAATATCTTTGGCAACCATGTATTTAATCTCATAATTTCAACACTCTCATTTAAAGCATTTTCATCTTCCGAGTCACACCATTTGTTGAGGTATTCTCTGATTGTTTTCTTCATTTTGATCTAATTGTTGATACAATACTTTTTGAAATCATTGTCTAGATACTCTCCCCTTCCCCATTATTTGAGTGCAAATACTTCACCTTTAAATATGTCTCATATTCAACCATCGCTTTTCATCTCTTGAAAACATTAAATAATCAAATTTATTACCTTTATCATCAAGATACCCATCCGAGATCAAATTACGCATCAATTTAGACACATGCTTTACATTGTGAATTTTTTACTCAAACCCGTTTAACATCCTCAAATTGACATCACCTATACCAACAATATCTATATGTTCTCCATCAACAAGATACATTTCCATAATTCCCACCAACATATTTCTCCTTAATCTCGCGATGTGTAGTGGAGAGAAAACAAGCTTCTGAATCCATCATCCAAGAATCAATATAATAGTAAATCGACAATAGTAAAGCATTTTACACCTCTTGAGTCCCTGTGCTAGCATTGTAGTTGTTCTTTTCTTATTTCTTCGTTCGTGCTCTGCAATTCTTCTTCATGTGGCCAGTCTTGCCACAATTTCAGCATTCCACATTCTTTATGGATCTGGACTTGTTTATACAATTCTTCCACTTCCCACCTTTGTCTTTATTAGAATTTTTCTCGAAACCCCTACACTCGTTCTCCACTTTTAGAGTAGAATTCGATGTTGAAACTTCTCCAAATATCTTCTACGGACTTCCTCAGCAAAAATAGTATCACTAAAACCACTAATGTCCAGTTTGATAGCCTCTATTTCCGTTGGAAGTTAGTTCCACATTTTTAGTTGTTTGATAGATATAATTTTCTTGTGAATTTGGTTTTTCACTTGGGGGTGAGCGGGGGTGCTCACGTGACCCATTCTCTTAGAAATTGATGAAAACTTTTTGCCACCATTTTGGTGGGAAAAGTTTTTTCAGGCTGCTGCTGCTACGTTTTTTTATTTTATTTTTTGACAATGAAAACAAATGTCATAACCAATTGTAAAAAAAATTTCACTTTAATGAACAATTTTCATTTAAAACTAAACCAAACAAACACTAAATTATGATGAAATAAATGATTTTTTAGGGAAAAAATTTTTTTTCTTTTTTTTTTTAACTTTTTGGCAATGGAAACAAGTTTTATAACTAATTGTGAAAATATTTATCACTTCAATGGATAATTTTCATATAAAATAAAGCCAAACGAACACAAAAATTTAAGATTTTTCGGATGAAAAATTATATCAATCAAACACACTTAATTAACAATTTCTTGTAAAACAATTTCTAGACAATTACTTTTCCTGAATTTATTTTCTTTCCACCAATTTTCCACCATTGCAATCAAACGGATCCTAAATTATAGTTTCACATTGCCTATAGAGTTACTAATCGCAACTCTCATAGGTTCCCAACTATTCAATAGTGATGCCAATAAGATTACGACACATACCTCATCATGGAATTTAATCTCAAATAAGACCAACTAGCTGATAATTGTATTCAATTTATTAAGATGTTCTATTACACCTTCATCTATCTTCAAATTAAATAATTTTTTCATCAGATGTTAGTTGTTACATTTAGATAGCTTCTCATACATATTGGACAACACCTTCATCAAATCTGTCGTGGGTTTCTTCACCTCCATATTGTGAACAATGTTCTTGGACAATGTCAATCAGATAACACCCAATACTCGATGATCAATAAGTTTTCACTGCATTCGCTTTTCATTCAGAAGAGGATGGTGCATTTTTTTTACTGTACAGGTATTTTTAGATTTATATCCTCTCGAACGTAAAATCCACACCATCAAATTTGCAAATTTCCAGTGACATTTCTTCTTCGCTGGTCATTTTCTCAATCAAAATCAAAAGTTTTGATACGAATTGTTGAGGATTGGAAATTCTAATTCTATTCCATCGAGACTAATCAATTCACAAAAAGAAAAAGAAACGTGAAAGAACATGAAAGATTGATACATGAACTTAATAAGATTGAATTTCAAACCAAACAAAACTATAACTTTAAAGGGTTATACTATATGTACATAATTTTTTTACATAATTTTTTACACCACACTCACATTAAGAGGTGGGGACCACGAGCCGCATTTTTAAACACACACGGGCCCCGCACACATTGTGAGGGGGGTACACCATTCGTTACCCCCCATTCGGTACATCCGGCATTTCCCAACTTTAAAACCCAAACGAAATTAAAACTTAACCCCTTAGCCCAAATCTATCTAAATCAGAGACATCACGTCCCTCTTATCACATTTTTGTCTCTCATCTACACTACTGAGTCTACTTGGCCACTTCTGCCATCGACAACACGAAGGTTCAAGAAGCCAAGTACTGGAGAAGAATCTAAAGAAAAGCCTATTAAAGGTGGTCAATTTGTAGCCTTTTTGTGTAATTCCTTTCTCAAATTCTAAATGTTTATCCGTAAATTTAACACTAGATTTTAAACCTCAAATTCTCATATAGTGAACTTTGATTTTTGGAAATTTATTCTCATTTCGTTTCTGCATTTTCTATATTTACTAATTTCTAGAATTGGAACATTAATTTGTATGTTTAGAAGTACTTATTTGATTTTTGACTTCTTTATTTTATGGAAAGGACAGCGTTTACAACTTGCTCAATTCTTCTATCCTTTGTGGTTTCATTTTGATTTCTATATTCTCCATTTCAGGTGTTTATTGTTTCATTAATTTGTGTGTAAATTTTTAGACTTCGCTTCTCATGATTTTCCAACAAATAATGAAAAAAATCAGAAACTTATCCAACTTGTCTTTCTTACTAAGGTCTAAGGATAATATTGAATATTGCTATTCCTGCATTCATTTGTACTTATCAAAATTAGTGAATCAAGATTTTAGATAAACACATTGAGCAAAAATCAAAAGCAAAATAATTCAAATAGTTTGAATGTATATTATGTAAAATTAAATAATTTTTTGTTCATGAGAATGACATTATTAACATATTAAGAAAGACGCGTCAATTTAACATGACTTATTTTTAGAGCCTTGAATATTTAATATTATCTAAACAATAGATGGCCCACATCGAATTTGCATGTAAGACAATATAATATATATATTTCGTAGCAAAGATCATGCGATTAACAATCTTTGTTAACGAACACCCACCAATCGTAATGCACAAATTCATTGTGAAGCAAAACAAAATTTGAAATAATTTAGTATTATCTGATCGTTCTAGTCGAACATGCAATCATAACATATAACAATGTGACAAAACTCATCAATTTTCTATCCAATAATGTCATGCAAAATGAGCCAAACATGCTATAATATTCGAAACTTAAAAGAAAAAAATTACTAGTTATTCCATTGAAAAAGATTAACTTAGTCTTCTATACATTTGTCTAGGAAAATTGTGCTATGACGTGCATGTGAAGTGTAAAGTGTTTGTGAATTATATGCAACGAAAAAGGAGTATGAAAAAGGTTACAAAAAGAGTGAAATGCAAGGCATAATTTGGCATGGTTCTTGAAGAATCTCCGGTGACAAAATTTGGCAGCCATGATTGGAGGTTGCTGCCGATGGATGTTCCGGTGCCGGTTTCCTGCCAGGAAGAGTCTCTTGAAGATTTTTGACTGCAGCCAAAACGTTTCAAGAAATACATCATTTAATGTATGCTAGCAAGATAATGTCAATTTTGCTACTATTTTGTGTATTTATTAATTATAGGCCTTGGTTTAACTAGAAAAATAAATTAAAATTTAAGTCAGAGTCAATATTTATGCTATGTTTGAGTTCCATTTTGTTAAAAAATTAAGTTTTGTAATAATAATTTTTAAAAGAATAAGTGGTTAAGAAATGAAGAAAAATTTTGGGTTTACGTGTAAATTATTTTATTTAGAGAATTTGTGCTTGAAAATGAGTGCGGTTGAAAAAAAAATGAATTTTTAGAAAATAAAGTTCAAACAAGGGCTTAATTTTAATTATACATTTAATGGGATTCACAACTTTTTAATTACACATTCCATCAACTTTTATCAAAACCTATTGAAAATTTGATTTTTATTTGAACCAAACAAATACATAACGTGATTAATATCGAGAAAATGATTACAACACAAAATTATTGCCTCGGCCAAGGAAAGATGATCAAGAGTTTACCAAAATGGGCACAAAATTTTTACGGCCGGTCGGTGCACATTTTGGGGCCAAGAATGCATTTTTTTGTTAATGTGATGATGAATATGTGGTTAAAAAAGAGGAAAATTATTGACGTGATGGAAAATATTATTTTATTGAAGAATGTGCAGTTAAAAATGAGTAGAAAAATGAGAATGAAAAAAATAATGTGGTTGAAACAGAATTTCTAATTTTGTCGAATAAGCATTTTAAGGTTATTCTTTTTTCAACAAATTTTGTTTTATTTATATTTGAAAAAAATAAACTTTTGAGCATCAATTTACCTCATTCGTGAAGGACAAAATGTAATTGCATAATCTGCTCCACTACACATAAATATACTTGTAGCATCATCGTATGCGTAACTGTATGATCTCGGGCACGCGGTTTTGAAAATCTCCGAATAAGTCGACGGCCGACAGGTGGCGGGTGAACCATACGTGCCGCTACAACAGTATTCTGGATTCCCAAACGCTTCACATGCACTCTTGCATGCTTGCCCGTCCTCGGCCCGCAACTCATTCGGGCACATCCGGTTCAAATTAGTTACGCACCCGGTCGAACCGCATGCACCTGAGCCGCCTTTCGCCTGAACGATTATCGGCAAGTTGTATCCATCAACGAGGCTAACATCGTAGAAATCCGAATTCGTACCGGACCCTATTGTGAATTCCGCTAGAGTCGCCGGTGGCGCTGCGCCGGCACCATTGCATTCCACCTGGTTGGAGCCACAGTCACCGGTGGCGCAACTTCCTTGCCCGGTATTCGAGTCAAATGTGCAGCGGGTTCTGCCCCAAAACCTCCCCGACCAGCCCGGCGGAGATTGGAAGGACCGGGTTCCGCCCGATGGAAGTTCGAATCCGGTACTATCCAATTTACTACTACCCGCATTTGCCAATATTCCGGGCCATACTGTACAATCACATCGATTTATCAACGTAAACGTAGCCCCCAAACAACCTGAAAATGAAATCCCATAAATTAAAATAGCAGAAAACGGAAATTAAATCGAAGATTATTAGCAGTAATACCTTTGCAGAAGATCAGTAGAAAAATGAGTGTAATATAATCGAAATGAGAAGAAAAAATTGAGGACATTGGGAGTAGATTACTTATTTGTGAAGATATGGTCTAAATTTCAATTTGTTTTGTGAAAAAATACGAAGATTATGGGGATGAAATTGAGAAAAGTAGATGAGAATGCTGGGATTGAGTGAGAAAGCAATTCTGTTGTGATGAATGCAGTTCCTATATAAAGATACACGACACATGATTTAGCAGTTTGAGTGCGTGATTGCGTGTCATTTATTTTTTCCGACAACATATTTTGCCCTTGTTTGATTCAGATTAAAATCTAAATTTTAATTTAAGTTAAAGTTAACAATTAATTTTAATTATGTATTTTATGGGATTATAACTTTTCAACCTCATATGTCATGAACGTTTATCAAAATCAATTAAAATTTTGATTTTAATCCCCATCAAACAGAGAGATCAGATTTTAAGCTCCTGTTTGATAGATATTAAAATCAGATTTTTAGTAAATTTTGATAAAAAAATGATAAAATGTGTTGTTGATTTAAATTTAAATTTAAATTTTAATTCGGATCAAACAGGGGGTTTTTGAAGTTTGTGCAAAACTTTAAATTGGATTAAAGTAATTTTCTTACTTTATTGGTCACTATATTTTTAGGGGTTTAAACCATTTTGTACATAATTATTTGTACATAATGGATTACCCCCTCTCACATAATGCGCGAGGTCCGCGTGTATTTAAATTTTTTGACAATGTGGTCCCTCATCCCCATTGTGAGCAGTAGGTTAAAGATTCAGTAAAAAAATTCGATACATATAGCATGATTCTATTTTATGTACACGAGCAATCAAGTGTGAAACTGTTATTTACTTTATTGACCAATAAGATAAAAAAATTACTTTAATAAGAATTTAATTTCCATTAGTGATTAATTAACTCTTTTGTTCTCTAGGCAACAAGGGTCTCAACTATACATTAAATCACTTCAAGCTGAAGCTTTATTAGTTATTACTTTTCATATATATATTTTTTGTACTCTTTTGTACCAAAAAAGGAAAAAGAAAAAAAAAAA